TTTTAAAAAAGTGCATAAATATGCATCTAAACCCCTGAAATAAAAAGTATCATTTATACTTGTAATAAAAAAACAATAAATTAGTAAAAAAAAAAAAAAATAAAATAAAATAAAATAAAATAAAATAATGTTCGTTGTAGGAGTTTCGTTCGTTATAGCATTCTCAATTTTATAAGTAAAACCGTTCGTTATAGGAATATTTGTAATAGGATCCGTTCGTTATAGCATATGTAATGAGACAAAATCTCACATGAAGAGGTAAGTTAGGAGGTTATAGTAGTAGAATATTATAGCGAGAGGAAATGGTAGCGTGTCTCGAGGGTGTGATGTCAACACTGTATATTAACACAGGCACAATACAAGTGTAGTATATAAAACACCAATGCGTGTTACAGCTTTATTTTACAAGTTTAATGGGGGGGTTCGTACACAATTTATGATAGACTATGGTATTCTCGTATAACCTAATCTCACAATTAGAATGGGCACGTCACTAAGTCGATCGTTGGGGAGGTTCGGGATCACCGCACTTCTACCGTCTACACAGCCAGCACTTACTGTTACACGTTGAGTTGACAACACTCTGTCGATGGACCCGACTGAGACTTCGTTACACTTAGTGGCGGGCTTCTCTCGAGCGGGACTGGGAGCGTCGTAGCTGGCTCTTCTTGGTTACAAGACACACTCTCGTGAGGGAGGGCTAGGACGTCCTATATATTGGAAGACCAGCCGTCAGGTTGAGCTGATCGGGGGGGCGGCGAAGGGTCTCCTTACATTTGCCCTCGCTAATGTAGGGTCAGGTCTGGACTTTTTCAGAGACTATCAGTTGTTGTATCCTGGAGAAATCTTCATATGAATGCTTTTCTGTTAACACCGTTGGTGGGGCCGTGTGAGGATAGGTCTGGGCCTTGTCTGGGATGTACTGTGGGTCTCTTGTGTAAATTGGGGAAGGGCCGCAGGTGGCTCCTTTGCTCACTGTGTGTCTTACATATTTGTTGGGGTCGTGCGACATGTGGGGGGGAGCCTGGTTGATTTATAACCCTTGGGCAGCTGCGAGTGTTACCCATACACTTGCCCCCCAAATGTCGGGTCAAGTCTGGACTGTTTCTGAGATGTAAGCTGTGGTCTGACACCCCATCACTACACATACCCCACTGTAATTGACATTGCTGGATTCCTTGCAAGACCAGGAATATTTTGAATATACATGTCATATATTTTGCACAAAAGATAACATATTTGCTCTGAGTAAACAAAATTCTTACATTAGATCCAAAATTTGTATGTCTAATGCAAAATCTATAATGTTTATATTCAAAATGATCATCATATTGCAAGAATTCCAGCAATGTAAATTATATTCTGGCCGGGTAATTTGTATGAATTTTATGAGCTAAAACAAATATCTTCAGTAAATAAAAAAAATATAATTTACCCAAACACTATCTGTCAATCAAAATACCCCACCTCCAGCTCCCCCCCCCCTCTTCCCACGCTCGCTGGGTCCCTCCCTCCCTCTCCCCACCCCCACCTTCCCTCCCTACCAGGGAAATGTTTGGGTTAAAACAGTATATTTACATTTTATTAATAAATAATACCTCAGACTAAAGTTAGGATAATATAATTGACATTGCTGGATTCCTTGCAAGACCAGGAATATTTTGAATATACACTTCATATATTTTGCACAAAAGATAACATATTTGCTCTGAGTAAACAAAATTCATACATTAGATCTAAAATTTGTATGTCTAATGCAAAATCTATGATGTTTATATTCAAAATGATCATCATATTGTAAGAATTCCAGCAATGTATAGTGGACCCTCGGTTAACGAGCACAATCGGATCCAGAAGGTTGCTCATTAATCGAAAAACTCGTTTACCGAAACCATTGTTTAAATGGGTTTTTGGGTAATTGGTTCCAGCTCAACAAAAATTGCCTAAATTCAACAAAAAAGGTAGAAAAGTACACTTACACTGGTCCCTCGGTTAACGAGCACAATTCATTCCAGAAGGTTGCTCGTTATCCGAAAAATTCGTTAACCAAAACCATTGTTTCAATGGGTTTTTGGGCAATTGGTTCCAGCTCACAGAAAATTACATACAAACGAAAAATAAATGCAGTAAAGTACACTTAATTTTAGGTGTGCATTTAGAAGGCTCCTGGTTGTTGTTGATGATGATGATGATGATGATGATGATGATGATGATGATGATGATGATGGGCATTAGAATGAGAGTGGAGGAGAAGGGAGAAGAGAAGGCATTGGGGTGGAAGAAAAGTTCACTCCATGCCGCCATTTCATCCATTATTTTCTTTAAATCAGCACTGCATTGTGCTATATATTATCAATATGTAAAATATATTTCAAAATTACCAATAATTTGACTGGAAACACAGAAAAAAAGCATTTATGTTGAAGAGTCTCAAACAAGATGTTCCTTCCTCTGAACCTGTAAACAAACTGACGCCAAGCTTGGTGTGTTGACAGGCTGTTTGGCACGCATAAAACTAGTTTCCTGTACTTCAATTATGTTCAATAATTGTTAAAATGACGAAAAAATTTAATATTAAACTTTTAAAATTATTGATATTTACTACAATGGTAAGGAATTTAAGTCCTAGAACCGATTACTGTATTGGCGGACTAATACTACAGCTAGTTAGCAGGCGAAAACATGTTGAGGGGCGCTCGTAAGGAATTCGTTAATCGAGGGATTGCTCATTAACCGAAGTGAAGAATCTTATGGAAGGTAATTTGTTAACCGAAATTTCGTTAACCGAGGCGCTCGTTAACCGAGGGATCACTGTACTTTGAGGTGTGTATGTAGAAGGCTCCTGGATGATGATGATGGGAATGAGAATGGGGGGTGGAGGAGAAGGGAGAAGAGAAGGCATTGGGGTGGAAGAGAAGTCACCCCATGGTGCCATTTCGCCCATAAAATTTTAGTTCTGTTGGTGTAATTCAAGATTATTTTCTTTAAATCAACACTGCACTGCATTATATATTGTCAATATGTAAAATAAATTTCAAAATGACCAATAATTTGCTTGGAAACACAGAAAAAACGCATTTAGTTGAAGAGAGTCTCAAGCAAGATATTTCCTCCACTGAAAAGAGAGAGAGAGACTAACGCCTGTTTGTGTGTTAACAGGCTGGATGGCGCGCCAGAAACTAGTTTCTTTACCTTCAATTATGTTCAATAATTGTTAAAATGACTAAAAAAGTTAATATTAAACTTTTAAAATTATTGAATAGTACAAACTTCTTGATATTTACTGAAATAGTAAGTAATTTAACCCCTAAAACAGATTACTGTTTTGGCGGAATAATACTACAGCTGGTGGCCCGCCAAATGCAAGCGAAAATATGTTGAGTTTGGCTCGTAATTAACTCATTAATCGAGGGATTGCTCGTTAACCGAAGTTAAGAATCTTATGGAAGGTAAATCGTTAACCGAGGCGCTCGTTAACCAAGGGATCACCGTAAATTATATTCTGGCCGGGTAATTTGTATGAATTTTATGAGCTAAAACAAATATCTTCAGTAAATAAAAAAATATATACTTCACCCAGATACTATCTGTCAATCAAAATACCCCACCTCCGGCTCCCCTCCTCTTCCCACGCTTGCTGGGTCCCTCCCTCCCTCCCTACCCCCCACCCCCACCTTCCCTCCCTACCAGAGAAATGTTTGGGTTAAAACAGTATATTTACATTTTTGGTAATAAATAATACCTTGGACTAAAGTTAGGATAATATAATTGACATTGCTGGATTTCTTGCAAGACCAGGAATATTTTGAATATACACGTCATATATTTTGCAAAAAAGATAATATATTTGCTCTGAGTAAACAAAATTCTTATATTAGATCTAAAATTTGCATGTCTAATGCAAAATCTATGATGTTTATATTCAAAATGATCATCATATTGTAAGAATTCCAGCTATGTAAATTATATTCTGGCCGGGTAATTTGTATGAATTTTATGAGCTAAATAAAAAAATTATACTTCGCCCACGTATATGAGTAGATGCACCGCGTAAAGTGGGAATTCCGGTTCTGGCAGAGTACCGCGTAAATGTAGAAACACGTAAAAGAGAACCGCGGAAAGCGGGGTATTACTGTACTGTACCTAAGATTTTCTCTTCCCCAACCATTTAGTAATGTTGTTTACTTTGGTAAATCTTAACCCTCTGGGCCTCGGAGCCTGAGACACATAGGTGCATGAAAACTTATGCTCGGCTTCAGAGGTTTTGCCGAATAATCGTTGAAAATTTTATTTATTTCTGGGCTCATTTCACTGCCATGGAATTGTTTTATTAATTGTAATGGGTCTCTCCTAGTATAAAATTGTTTGAAAAATTGTATGAAACCATAAAAAAATTTAAAATTCTAGAAATTTAATGCACTTTTTTCGAGTATAAGTTGGCAAAGTGGGAAAATGTTTAGTAACATCTCGATTTCCATTCACATTTTCCTTGTATTATGGTGTTCATTGATATGTACTGTATTCCAAAATAAAGAACAAAGCATGTGGAATATTGTGGTATGAGGAAAAATTTTATAACACAAAAACTCATGGAATAATTATAGGGCCAAGCGGCGTAGCCTTCGTTCACTCTGATGGCCAGAGCGACGCTGGCTTCATGCTGCGCTGCCATGCACACAATGACCAAGACCGTCTCGAGGAAGGTGACAAGGCCCACAAAGAAAACGACTTCTGTCAAATGGTGTCCAAAGTTCGGTCAGTGAGTTATTTGAAAATATAACCCATGGACGCCACGTTGGCATCGCAAGGCTGAGCTTAAGTTTATTCGCCTTTTATGTTCGACGCCACAGTGGCGTCATGCGAGGCTGAGAGGGTTAATTGGTGATCTTTCCCACTAGCGAACTGTGGTGGGTCTTTTAACGCATTTTTGTACTCTTAGTTTTTACTTCTCAAGTTACTAATTCAGGCTGGGGGAAATCCTCTGAACTAACAAGCTAACTTATACAATCTGGAGAAGCGAGGAATATGTGAGAAGTTGTAATTAGTGATTCTGCTGACAGGTGATTAATTTGTGTTTCACTTTATAGGAAGCATCATGGTTGGGGTCACTGCTACTACTTGGTGCTTGTGTCGGTGCCTTTGTGTCTTCATGGGTAATCAGTCTGGGTAGGAGACGAGCTGTCCTGGCTTCCGCTTTTCCACGCCTCTTTGGTTGGATAATGATTGGTGCTGCTTCTGACGTGTATATGCTGTATGGTGGCAGGTATGTATAATATATGATGTATGGTGGCAGGTATGTACAATAATATGATGTACTGTATGGTTGCAGGTATGTACAATATATGATATATGGTGGCAGTGGCAGGTATGTACAATATATGATGTACGGTGGCAGGTATGTACAATAATATGATGTACTGTATGGTGGCAGGTATGTACAATATATGATATATGGTGGCAGTGGCAGATATGTACAATATATGATGTACGGTGGCAGGTATGTACAATACAATACATAAGAAATAATGTAAATAGGGGGACAAGGGCATTGCGGTGGTCACGGCCGTCAGATTTTTAACACTTGTTTTACTCAATAAATATAGAACATAAAATAGATAAAGAAACAAGGGCATAATATCAAATAAACATCAATAACAAACACTTTGAGTTTATTGGGTATATATGTTTACAAGTACAGTATACAGTACATGTTTGAGTGTGTGATTGTTTGAATGTTTATGTGCATAGGTGTGTGAAGTAAGTTTTAAATGTAGACTGTTAATTCACCTCTGATGTGCTGTGTTGCTTGCTTGCTGAAGTTGGCATTAGGGGAGAGGAGGCTGGGGTCATCAGCTACCTCACTCTCCTCACTGCCAGGGTCGTCAGCCACCTCACTCATTATCGCTGTCAATTTGCACTGAAAGCTGTTGTCCTCCACTGGTTTAAGGCTGTGGTTCACTGGTTGAAGGCTGTGGTTCACTCCTTGAAGGCTGTGGTTCACTCCTTGAAGGCTGTGGTTCACTCCTTGAAGGCTGTGGTTCACTCCTTGAAGGCTGTGGTTCACTCCTTGAAGGCTGTGGTTCACTGGTTGAAGGCTGTGGTTCACTCCTTGAAGGCTGTGGTTCACTCCTTGAAGGCTGTGGTTCACTGGTTGAAGGCTGTGGTTCACTCGTTGAAGGCTGTGGTGGTTCACTGGCTGAAGGCTGTGGTTCACTTGTTGAAGGCTGTGGTTCACTGGCTGAAGGCTGTGGTTCACTGGTTGAAGGCTGTGGTTCACTTGTTGAAGGCTGTGGTTCACTGGCTGAAGGCTGTGGTTCACTGGTTGAAGGCTGTGTTACTGGTTGAAGGCTGTAGTTCACTTTCGTTGAAGGCGTAGTTCACTCCTTGAAGGCTGTAGTTCACTGGATTTGAAGGCTGTGGTTCCTCCTTGTGAAGGCTGTAGTTCACTCGTTGAAGGCTGTGGTTCACTGGTTGAAGGCTGTGGATTTCACTCGTTGAAGGCTATGGTTCTACTTCGTTGAAGGCTGTGATTTCGTCGTTGAAGGCTGTAGTTCATTAGTTGAAGGCTGTGGTTCACTCGTTGAAGGCTGTGGTTCCTCGTTGAAGGCTGTGGTTCCTCAGTTTGAAGGCTGTGGTTCACTCGCTTAAGGCTGTGGTTCCTCCTTGAAGAGGCTGTGGTTAACTGGTTGAAGGCTGTAGTTCCTCCTTGAAGGCTGTGGTTCACTGGTTGAAGGCTGTAGTTCACTGTTTGAAGGCTGTGGTTCACTCATGAAGGCTGTGGTTCACTCGTTGAGAAGGCTTTGTGGTTCACTGGTTGAAGGCAGTGGTTCACTGGTTGAAGGCTGTGGTTCACTCGCCAGAGGCTGTGGTTCCTCCTTGAAAGGCTGTGGTTCACTCCTTGAAGGCTGTGGTTCCTCCTTGAAGGCTGTGGTTCACTGGTTGAAGGCTGTAGTTCACTGGTTGAAGGCGCTGTAGTTCACTGGATTGAAGGCTGTGGTTCCTCGTTGAAGGCTGTGGTTCACTCGTTGAAGGCTGTGGTTCACTTTCGTTGAAGGCTGTGGTTCCTCGTTGAAGGCTGTGGTTCACTTTCGTTGAAGGCTGTGGTTCCTCGTTGAAGGCTGTAGTTCACTTCGTTGAAGGCGTAGTTCCTCCTTGAAGGCTGGTTCACTCCTTGAAGGCTGTGGTTCTGGTTTGAAGGCTGTAGTTCACTGGTTGAAAGGCTGTGGTTCACTGGTTGAAGGCTGTGGTTCACTGGTTGAAGGCCTGTGGTTCACTGGTTGAAGGCTGTGGTTCACTGGTTGAAGGCTGTGGATTTCACTGGTTGAAGGCTGTGGTTCACTCCTTGAAGGCTGTGGTTCACTGGTTGAAGGCTGTGGTTCACTCCTTGAAGGCTGTGGTTCACTGGTTGAAGGCTGTGATTTCACTCGTTGAAACTGTGGATTCACTCCTTGAGCTGTGGTTCACTGGTTGAGCTGTGGTTCACTGGTTTAAGGCTGTGGTTCTCGTTGAAGGCTGTGGTTCACTTTCGTTGAAGGCTGTGGTTCACTAGTTGAAGGCTGTGGTTCACTCGTTGAAGGCTGTGGATTTCAATCGTTTGTTGAAGGCTGTGGTTCACTGGTTGAAGGCACAGCCCAGTTCACTGGTTTAAGGCTGTGAAGTTCCTCCTTGAAGGCTGTGGTTCACTGGGTTGAAGGCTGTGGTTCACTCGTTGAAGGCTGTGGTTCACTCCTTGAAGGCTGTGGTTCACTCCTTGAAGGCTGTAGTTCACTCGTTGAAGGCTGTGGTTCACTCATGTGAAGGCTGTGGTTCACTGGTTGAAGAGCTGTAGTTCACTCCTTGAGAGCTGTGGTTCACTTCGTTGAAGGCTGTGTTCACCTGTTGAAGGCTGTGGTTCACTAGTTGAAGGCTGTGGTTCACTGCGTTGAAGGCTGTAGTTCACTTTCGTTGAGGCTGTGGTTCACTTCGTTGAAGGCTGTGGTTCACTCGTTGAAGGCTGTGGTTCATTGGTTGAGCTGTGGTTCACTGGTTGGAAGGCTGTGGTTCACTGGTTGAAAGGCTGTGGTTCACTCGCGCCAGAGCTGTGGTTCACTGGTTGAAGGCTGTGGTTCACTGGTTGAAGCTGTGGTTCACTCGTTGAAGGCTTAGTTCCTCGTTGAAAACGTAGTTCCTCGTTGAAGGCACAATGGTTCACTCCTTGAAGGCTGTGGTTTACTCCTTGCGTTGAAGGCTGTGGTTCACTGGTTGAAGGCTGTGGTTCACTTTCGTTGAGCTGTGGTTCGTTGAAGGCTGTGGTTCACTGGTTGAAGGCTGTAGTTCACTCTTGAAGGCTGTGGTTCACTTCTTGAGGCTGTGGTTCACTCCTTGAAGGCTGTGGTTCACTCCTTGAAGGCTAATGGTTCACTCCTTGAAGGCTGCAGAACCCACTCCTTGAAGAGCTGTGGTTCACTCCTTGAAAGGCTGTGGTTCACTCCTTGAAGGCTGTGGTTCCTCCTTGAGCTAATGGTTCACTCCTTGCCAAGAAGGCTGTGGGTTCACTCCTTGAGCTGTAGTTCCTTTCAGATTGTAGAGCTGTGGTTCACTGGTTGAAGGCTGTGGTTCACTCCTTGAAGAAGGCTGTGGTTCACTGGTTGAAGAGCTGTGGTTCACTGGTTGAGAGCTGTGGTTCACTGGTTGAGAGCTGTGGTTCACTGGTTGAAGGCTGTAGTTCACTCGTTGAAATGTGGTTCACTCCTTAAAGGCTGTGGTTCACTGGTTGAGCTGTGGTTCACTCCTTGAAGGCTGTGGTTCACTCCTTGAAGGCTATGGTTCCTCGTTGAAGGCTGTGGTTCACTGGTTGAAGGCTGTGGTTTTCACTCGCCGAAGGCTGGCGGTCACTCGTTGAAGGCTGTGGTTCACTCGTTGAAGGCTGTGGTTCCTCCTTGAAGGCTGTGGTTACTACGTTGAAGGCTGTGGTTCACTCCTTGAAGGCTGTGGTTCACTGGTTGAAGGCTGTAGTTCACTTTCGTTGAAGGCTGTAGTTCACTCGTTGAAGGCTGTGGTTCACTCGTTGAAGGCTTTGTGGTTCACTCGTTGAAGGCTGTGGTTCGGATTTGAAGGCTGTGGTTCACTCGTTGAGCTGTGGTTCCTCCTTGAAAGGCTGTAGTTCAATTCGCGAAGGCTGTGGATTTCACTTTCGTTGAAGGCTGTGGTTCACTTGTTGGAGCGTTCCTTGTTGAAGAGCTGTGGTTCACTGGTTTAAGGCTGTGGTTCACTCGCGAAGGCTGGTTTCACTCAGCGCCTTGAAAGGCTACAATGAAGTTCCTCCGCCAGAAGGCTGTAGTTCCTCGTTGAAGGCGTGGTTCACTTGTTGAAGGCTGTAGTTCACTTGTTGTTGAAGAGGCTGTGGTTCACTGGTTGAAGGCTGTGGTTCCTTGTTGAAGGCTGTGGTTCACTGGTTGAAGGCTGTGGTTCCTCGTTGAAGGCTGTGGTTCACTCGTTGAAGGCTGTGGTTCACTCGTTGAAGGCGCTGTGGTTCTGGTTGAAGGCAGTAGTTCACTGGTTGAAGGCAGTGGTTCACTCGTTGAAGGCTAATAGTTCACTCGTTGAAGGCTGTAGTTCACTCGTTGAAGGCCTGTAGTTCACTGGTTGAAGGCTGTGGTTCTTTGGGTTTGGGGAACGGTTTGGACAGGAACGTGGGACATCAGTTGAAAGAGCTGTAGTTCACTGGTTGAAAACTGTAGTTCCTCCTTGAAAGAGCTGTAGTTCACTAGTTTTAAGAGCTGTAGTTCACTAGTTTAAAGGCGCGCTGTGATTCACTGGTTTTAAGGCTGTAGTTCACTGGTTTTAAGGCTGTATGATTTCACTGGTTTAAGAGCTGTAGTTCACTGATTTAAGGCTGTGGTTCACTGGTTGAAGGCTGTAGTTCACTGGTTGAAATTTTAATAGTTCACTGGTTGAAGGCTATTAGTTCACTGGTTGAAACTGTAGTTCACTAGTTTAAGGCTGTGTTCACTGGTTGAAGGCTGTAGTTCACTCGTTGAAGCTAATGACTCCTTTTTCGTTGAAGGCTGTGGTTCCTTTCGTTGAAGGCTGTGGTTCACTGGTTGAAGGCTGTGGATTTCCTCGTTGAAGGCTTTTAATGGTTCACTGGTTGAAGGCTGTGGTTCACTCGTTGAAGGCTGTGGTTCACTGGTTGAAGGCTGTGGTTCACTGGTTGAAGGCTGTAATAGTTCACTCGTTGAGCTGTGGTTCACTTCGTTGAGCTGTGGTTCACTGGTTGAAGGC